GAAACAAAAATGCGACTATGAAGTTTTAAATGATTCACAATAAAAAAAACAAACAAATTATTAAAACTCAATGAAATAAAAGTATGTTTGCAAGTATCTATGTATGTTCCGACTACCTAAAGACAACAAATACAAAACAAAAATGTGACCTTAAAATATCGAACGCAATTATAACTTTCCAACAACACCCAGAAAGAAAACAATCGTCAGTCGTCACCTCCATTCGCTCCAAGTCAGTTTATTAAAGATCACGCGCGCGTTATCGTTCGGCTTATTAGCTAAACAGTAGGCGAGACGGTGCGGGGGGAGGGTCGGCGATCGCATCAAGCGAAGCGAGGCGCTTGAATTTTATTCTCGCGTCCGTAATTTTTTTGCGATTACTCCCAAGATATTCATTTAAATTAAATGGTGTAAAGGAGTAAAATAATGTGCATGAAATGCTGAAAGCCTCTAACTTATTTAAAATGATAAGGATTAATACCGTATTTGTGTAAATAGCTTTTACATTACCGCTTTATAATTTTTTAAAGTACCTATTAAAATGGATATAGGTAGTATGTTATCTGTAACATATAGACATATGCCATCGCGGACTTTTTTGTAGGCATATATAAGGTACACAATTCCACCATACATTGATTCACTACATAAACTTTTGGACCCCCCCCCCCGGCTCGGAAAATACGTACCTTGTTTATTAAAAAATATATTGGCTTTTATTCTTACAGTGGCTTAAGAAAACATAAAACAAAAACATGGAACAACCGGAATAAAGTTGACCAAAAGACTGAAATGAAAATTGTGCAAGTGCGCCGAGTACGAGTCTGTTAAAAATCATGCCTCCCGAACTCTAGATTAGTTTGATAGTCACCAGCGCGCAAGCTTTTGTATATGTTGCAAGAGTTATTACCGAGGACTTTTCTGACTTATCTCAACATTGCAAGGAGCCACCTTTGAGAACTGCTGATTTTCATAGCAGATGTTCGACGTACCCACCATTTGCTTGCACACAAGCTTCAGCGCGACATATCCAATTCGCTTGCACGCGTTGCAACATTGCCACGTCCTCTCGAATCGTATTACAAGCTTTGTTAATATGTCACGAAGTTCCGTGGAATACACAACTCTTTTCACATATCTCCACAAAAAGAAGTCTGGGGGGGGGCATCATCTAACTAGGCTCATCTAAAAAAGTGAACAGTAACCACATATTTTGCCGAACATTTAATTTCACGTCTCCCAATAACTCCGGCAAGCGATTTTGCAAAATGTCATTAATGATACCGGTCCACATGTTCACTCAAAACTGTTGCTGAAAGGCATCGCGACGTATTTCGTGTGGATTTTCGATAGCCCAATGGTGAGTGTTGTGGACGTTACGTACACCATTTCGACTGAAACATGGTTCATCTGTAACAAGCATTTGCGCTGTAAATTTAGGATTTCTTGCATGTTCCTGAATCAACCATTGGCAAAAACCTCTACGTAGTGGAAAATCCTCAGGGTAAGCGCTTGAACACATTGAATATGAAATGGGTACAACTGAGGTCCTCGTAATGTCCACCACACAACAGGATGCGTAATATTTACTTGCTGTGTGATATTTCTGGTCCTAGGATGTGGATCTTCTTGGACGAGATCTAGAATTATCTCCTCGACATTTAAGATTCTTAGTGGTCGCCCTGGGCCACCGTTGCGACCTCGACGCGGTTGTACTTCACCGGTGTCCAAAAAACTCTTTGCGCTACAGCTACAAATGTTCGCGGTGCGGGGACACGTCGTTGAGGATATCTTGCACGGTACACTTGACAAGCTCTGTGGGCATTTTCTTTTGCTTCTACATAAATTATGAGCATATAATATTCGCGATTGCTAAATAAATGCGCCATTTTCAGAAGAAAACTTGGAAATACGGGTATTAAATGTACTCTCGAAAAACAGCACAGCAATCAGTACAACAATGTATTACAAACTGACTTTCGAATACAGTCCAGCTTCATAAGAAACCTACAAACTCGTAAAAAGTGTTACAGATTTTTGTAAGTACTCGGCCGCGATAAAATACATGTATTTCAGCAGTTCCAAAACAATTTAAAACACATCTTTAATTAGCTTTTTTGTCTATAAACTTCCGAAACAAGTATGTGACATCAATTAACTCAGTTTTTGCTCCTTTTTCACCCCTTAAAATTTTCGACATAAGTTCATTAAAACCTTGTATAGTAAACCTCTTTTGCAATATACCTAATACTTACAATTATGCACTATTAGATCGCCATTTCAACTTCATCATTTCTAAATCTTTGTCTTTTCAAAACGTTTTTCAAGTTCAAAGACACGATAATCAGAAGGAACAATATCATGGCTGCAACATCTAGGATTTCAACATTCAAAAAGGCCAGCTGTTGCATAGCACTTGGGGTGTACATTTCCATAATGGAAAAGAACACCTTTCTACTGCTGACTTCATTGCCTTTGAAAGACTTTCACTTGATCTTCTGAATTGACCAAGCGTGACGACAATTATTATTCAAGATCCAATAGATTCAAATTCTTGGGGTACTGATTTCATGAAAGTTTGTCTGTTTGTTGTTATTTCTTAAAACATTTTCATCCTTTACTTCAGTTTTTTATAAGTAAATCGACTGTTCTTACAATACAAAGAACTAAATACCACCAGAATTTTTTCTATGAAAGGTTACAATCATTTTTTATAGAAACGTAAGTCCTTTTCTTCGAAATTAAAAAATACCTCGATATATTTAGTTATTAAACTGTCACTCCACTGCCAACTAAAAATTAATTCTTGTCCGCTATATTTGAGACAATTTTATTATTATCGATATTATCCGTTTTCATCATAAACAAGTGAGAAAGATTTGAGTGTTGCTCGAGAGTTTAATAGTACCGTGTATAGGATTGTAGATATATTATTATTAATCATTGCCCGACACAGATATCAAATAAATGACTTATGTATATAAAAATTAACTTGAGTGATTACAACTCAACATTTTTGAAGTTGCGTAATAAAACGTGATATTTTTTGGACATGACGTACATAACTCAGTGCAGGTACTCAAGGTTACATATGCATACAGTGTCCTCCAAACTAAGTTATATAATTATAATGATACTTTATTTACCTTGTCAGACAAATTGTGTTAAATTTTCAGACAGCTGGTGATTGGAAATCGGAATAATTCCACACCGTGTGAAGATGTTTGTAGATTTTCATGGGCGTAATACTAACATTATAAATAAATTATTACGTCACTTGATTTTTAAGTATTGACGCCAATATTATATACCGGGTGATTCAGTTTGGTATTCGCGGCCCTGTGTCTTTTTATTTTAACAAATAGCTATAACAAACCCTATATATTTTTAAATCGCCGCTCAAACTCTATTAAATGACATTATTAGATCGTCTCCATGGTAATATATGTCAAAATTGCTATAATCAACTGTTTTTGTTCAAATGGCACACTATATATTTTTTTATCAATTCTGGAAGATATTTTTTTCTTCGTTCAGCTGTGTAAGGAAGACTAGTTTTATTAGAAATATTGCTAGAAAAACAGCAAAAAATATGAATCCTACATTTCCTATCTTTATATTGAAAAACGGTAGCCAGCTGCGGAAACAAGCTACTATGTTTTGTATGTGTACTGAAAGTAGGGTTAATCTTTTACGCCTTTTTTAGCTTTTATACCTACTTAGTGCTACTATTTGGTATTAATGTTATAGTACCGTGATAAATGTATGTATTTTCTGTGAATATATTTATTTGTACAATAGTTTGTCGTGTGTCGTCGAACTGATCTATAACAAATTAGAATTCATTTTATTACACATTACTGTAATTATTATTAGCTTCACGTAGCACTATATTGTATTAAAATTTAAGTCTATTTCTGATCTAAAAAAAATCATGTCTAATTATAAGATAATGTGATTGTATTGGATGAACATTATTTAGGACTGATCGCTGGGGCTATTCTACAAAGCGGCACAGCTATCTGTTCATTCGGCTATCAACCAAACGGAAATTACTACGCCTTCGAAATGGGCAAGGCCTTGAACAAAAATTTTACGTCTGAGAAGTCATCGGATCTCTTAAAAGTATTGCAAGACGCTGATGCTCAAGACATCAACGAAATCTCTCTTGAAGTAAGTATACGCACACAGGACATGATCTTTAAATTAACGTTTCTGTTAATCATTAATATACGGGCTGTTTTACGATAACGGCCCATTAGAATATTTCAGATAAATACTACTTCGATTTCAATTTTGAAAATTAAGACTGGGATTTTGGGGAGTGGTCTCTTTGAATAAAATAATGCCATTGTTGTAGTACTTATTAAAAAACTGTTGTAGAATTTTTTCTCTCTATCCATATTTCATGTACAGTGTGTCCAGGAACTGAGCACGTGGGGTGTAATTGACAAAAATTTTTCGAGTTGAAATTCGAACTTCTGGGCATAATCTCTGCTTGGCCTTAAACTAGAAAGTTGAAAAAATTAGTCAAATTATTGTTGAGATGTTTTTACGATGAATTTTCAAAAATTGTTAAGAGTAAAGAACGTTTGTTTTTAAAAATATCATTTACTTAAGAAAGTTATAGAGAACTAAAGTTATGAGATCTTGTCAATTTCCTTTGTTTTTTTTATTTTTCACAACCACAAAGTACAAATTCCTATAATTCCATCGTATATAAGAGATATCGCACCAAACATTTACTTTTTTATAATATTGTCTTCTGCAGGGAACTCGTAACTCTGGATTTTCCTTGGACCAATACCGTAAACTTTGAGAACTCTCTTTGTAGAAAAAGTGGATTCGTCAGAGAAATATATTTTTAGGACAATTTTAATTTTGAAAAACTTAGTTACCTTACCACAAGCAAATTTCTAATCGTTTTGCCCAATGATTTTCTTCTATTGTGTGTATAAATTTAGCTTTGAATGGTTTTATTTTATTAAACTTGTAAATAACTTGCAAGTGCGATTTACTAATATTGCCAATTTCTAGTGCTCTTTTCCTTAAAGGCATTTTAGGATAGCGCTTTACAGAATCCATGGCAAGTGTAATCGTTGCATTGTCGTCTTCGTTTAGGTCGTATTTTTTCTTTTTCACATTCAATACACTGCCAGTACTGCCAAATTTTGTAACAACTTTTTTTAATACCATTAATTGATAGTATACAATAGGCCATTTTTCCCGGAATTTTCTTATTACTGTACCATACGAATATTCTTCCCCCCAACCCTAATANTAATGTTGAGATGATTTTATGATGAATTTTCAAAAATTGTCAAGAGTAAAGTACCTTTGTTTTTAAAAATATCATTTACTTAAGAAAGTTATAGAGAACTAAAGTTGTGACATCTTTTCTTTGTTTTTTTTATTTTTCACAACCACAAAGTACAAATTTCTATAATTCCATCGTATATAAGAGATATCGCACCAAACATTTACTTTTTTATAATATTGTCTTCTGCAGGGAACTCGTAACTCTGGATTTTCCTTGGACCAATACCGTAAACTTTGAGAACTCTCTTTGTAGAAAAAGTGGATTCGTCAGAGAAATATATTTTTAGGACAATTTTAATTTTGAAAAACTTAGTTACCTTACCACAAGCAAATTTCTAATCGTTTTGCCCAATGATTTTCTTCTATTGTGTGTATAAATTTAGCTTTGAATGGTTTTATTTTATTAAACTTGTAAATAACTTGCAAGTGCGATTTACTAATATTGCCAATTTCTAGTGCTCTTTTCCTTAAAGACATTTTAGGATAGCGCTTTACAGAATCCATGGCAAGTGTAATCGTTGCATTGTCGTCTCCGTTTAGGTCGTATTTTTTCTTTTTCACATTCAATACACTGCCAGTACTGCCAAATTTTGTAACAACTTTTTTTAATACCATTAATTGATAGTATACAATAGGCCATTTTTCCCGGAATTTTCTTATTACTGTACCATACGAATATTCTTCCCCCCCAACTCTAATACAATAAAAAATTGTGTTCTAGTGTTGACATTTCTAATTTAGCAAAGTTAATCAGAATGTTTTTAACGTGACATTTTGACATATGGGATTGACATAAATAACAGCGTGCCATTGCTTTGAATTCAAGGATATTAAAAAAAGAAAAAAAAACAAAATTGGCAGATCAAATTGAAAATTAACAATCTATCATAACTTTTAGTTATCAATAACAATTAAGTAAATATTTTTGGTATTTTTAAAAACAAAGATACTTTATTCTTGACAATTTTTGAAAATTTATCGTAAAAACACCCTGTGCATTAATTTATTTGATAAATTTTTTCAACTTCTTAATTTAAGGTCGAACAGAGATGACACATGAACAGGGTGTTCCATTTAAAATAAACAAGTAGATGACGACTTCCGGTATAACCGGAAGTGCTACAACAATGGCATTATTTTATTTAAAGAGAGTATCCCCGAAAAACCCAAAGCCCAAATTTTAAATATGCAAATAAGTAATATTCTAATGGGCCGTCACCGTAAGAGATCCTGCACATAATATAATTTCGTGGTGGAAATTCAACAGTTAATAGAAAATCCTTATTACGAGAAAAAAAGTCGGAGAACGTTTCCCTAATGAGATATGTAGATTAAAATAATATTTGATTCTTTACAATTTTCTGTAAAACATCATTCGCGTATTTAGACAAAACATTAAGTACATGAGCGCTGATAGATTAACGTTATAATCTATCGTTGATTTTTGCCAGTGGCGTAGATAAATATTTTTGTTGCAACAGAATTACGTTTAGTATTTTTTTTTTAGATAAATTGACTCCCATATAAAAATGTGTATATAACAGTGACGTTTTGGTCACTTTGACAACGATGAAACGGTACGTAGCTAACTCCTGTTCCTCTAAACTAAACTAGGCGCGTGTCAGTTTAAAATGTTTCCTGTCATTAGAATTATTAAGTATTGTTGAAAGTTTGAGTTTAAAATATACATGATGTGAGTAGTTTTGGAAAATTTTCGACTGACTAAATTAGAAAAAAGAGGAACATTTCGACAATCCACAAAAAACACTGAATTGTCGATATTGAGATCATTTATGGAGTCGAATTCACAATTACGAACTGTCAGAAGTAACTCCATTAAAAAATACAGCGGATATGTTAAAGGATTGGGCATATAATATGAAAAAGGAAACTCAGGAAGATTACAAACTTATAACAATCTGGAACTCCACTGCAAAGATGATTCAAGAAAAATATTTCTTTGAATATACTTCTGGGCTAATTCTCGTGGTTTGAATGAGGGGTAGAGATATTATTATTATTATAATACCATGAAATTTAATCCTTTTAACGACATAACTTTTAAAGACGCTGATGATGCAAGAAACAGTAAAAGAAAGGAATTTCAAACTATTCCAGAGAAAAGAAAGGTATGTTTTGCAATAGACAAGAAAAACTACTAAGGATGGCAAAATTGTGGGACATAAATGAATCAGCTTCTTATGATTGACTTGGAAGGTAGGAGAGCCTTAAAAATGAAAAAAAGTCAAGATGGAATACCAACAGGAAGAATACAATTCAATATTTTCAAAGACAGTACAAGGCGGATCGAAAAAATTGACAGACAGCAAATGGATAACAAAAAATAAGAACAACAAAATTATTTATCCTGTTACAATGTTAAAATTACTCTTACAAAGGAGAAACAAAAACATAACATCAGATCAACTTTTTTTTACTCCAAATCCCTTTTGGACAATTACAATTTCTAAAGGTTGGTATAAAAATGTTCCATTAGGAATTAATACTATATCTACATGGACAAAAGAATCTGCAGCTAAAATTGGACTTGGAATAAAATTACCAACCATTCAAACCGTGCCAGTACAGTTTCTCACTTAGCCAAAGGAGGGATAAGTGACCAACAACTGATAAAAGTAACCTGACACTCATCGTCATGATCCATTAAACCCTACCTTCAAATTAACGCTAAACATCACGAAACTCTTATTAGTAAGTAACTTTCGAACCTCGGATAGTCAAATGGAATATTCAACATGTACGGAAACTAGACCAGAAAATATTGAAATCAGTACACCAAATCAACCAATTTATAATAACTGTGTATTTGGACATGGAATAAATAAAGATATTTATTTTTGTTATTCATTCTCATATTTGATTGTTAATTTATCTTGCCAAAAACCACGCTAGTTTTCGTTTCATGGATAAATTTAACTAAAAATTTTGCCAATCAGTAATTTTGTTCGAAAAACTGGCATTTGACAAAATCGCTCGACCTTCGGTCTCGCGATTTTTTCATGTCAGTTGAAAAGCTCTTGTGATTTTAATGTTGATTATAAGAAAGTTAAAACTTGAAATAAATGATGGAATTCACTTACTTCATACAGATATGACACGATGTTTATTGGAAACGGTAGTTAAATTGAAACGAATTGAGATTTTATCGTCCGAACATTTAAAACAAATTTAAATCTATGCCATTCGTTATTTTTATCACTTCGATAAAATGAATCTGTATCGTGTGAACAGGTAGTTGCCAAACATTATGATTAAAAAATATTATAATGTTAAAGTAGTTAGCTTTTCCAATATAATTTTTTTTATTAAAAATTTTTAAAATAAACCTCATCTACTTCAGCACCTTTCACATCCTTCTCAAAGGAAACGTTCTACGAACCGTAATGTTGTTGTGTCAATCATTAACTTTACTATGAAAAATGGCTTCTAAATATTTATAAATATCTAAATATTTGCTAGCGATTGGTAAATAGATAAGTAATAATTGAGTGACAGCTTTTTTTTAACAAATATCACATGCTGCATCTATTCCAATCCGCTGATAGTAATCTTGAATTATATCGTTTTGTTATGAACTTTGATATATATTTGAAGTGATCTTATACTGGTCCGGCAAAATGATCTCCCACATTTTAACCTTTAATAAAAACGAAATTGTAAATGCTATTTATATGTATATTTTGTTTATTATATGGAAACATATACTATGCCATTTGTGTTCATTAAGTTTTTAAAATTACGGAGTCCAAGTGGCGGCCATATTTTTCGACACACATTCGAAGCTAATTTCTGAAGGCTTCCATGACTCGAACAATCATTTGAGGCGGTATTTCTGCAATTTCTTGGCGTATTGCTGCTTTCAATTCGTCAATAGTTCGGGGATGCTGTTGAAAGATCTTCTCTTTCAGGTAGTCCCACAGAAAAAAGTCGCATGGGGCAAGATCGGGTGAACGCGCTGGCCACCCAATGTCTCCACGTAACGAGATTACATGTCCTGGAAAAATTTCCCTTAAAACGTCCATTGACCTTCTTGCCGTATGAGCCGAAGCTCCATCTTGTTGGAACCACACATCCGGATGTTCAAATTCTCAAAGTTTTGGTTCCAAAAAATTGCGTAGCATATCGATATATCGATCGGCAGTCACAGTAACCGTTACGCCTCCCTCCTCAAAAAAGTAAGGACCCCAAACGCCAAATGATCCAACAGCACATCAAACGGTAACACGTGGGCTGAGAAGTGGCCTTTCATGGAGCTGCCGCGGATTTACTGGTGCCCAGTAGCGAAAATTCTGCTTGTTCACACAACCAGATAAGTGGAAATGAGCTTCGTCGCTCGTTATCAAAAAAGCATTTTGTGGGACGTTTTGAAGAATCTCGTTGGAACATGCTGTACGATTAACCCAGTCTCGTTCACTAAGTTCTTGCAGGATCATCATTTTGTATTGGTGCAACTTCAGATCTTGGTGTAAAATCCTTCTCACGGTACGATCTGACAAACGTAAAGCTGAGGCATGCTTAGCAGCTGAACGCGTAGGTGATCGTTCCACTGCTTCTCTTACAGCTGCGACATTTTCAATTGTCCGAGCGCTTCTGGGTCTACCAGGTGATTTTCTTTTTAAGGTTGAACCTGTGGCTCTAAAGTTTGAAACCCACAACAGTATTGTTTTGCGATCTGGAACAGGAACATGTCTACCAAGCGCGAAGCGAGTACGAAACGTTCTTTGCGTCGTAATCACAGACTGGTTATTCTTAATAAATGTTTCGACAATAAAGGCACGATGCTCAGCCGTCCAATTCATGACGGCAACTGAAATGGCAAGGCGCCAGCTACCAACTAAACACAGTAAGCTCCCCCTCTCTTCAATGATTCGGGCACAGTAGCGGCGCAAAATGTGGGAGATCATTTTGCCGCACCCTAGTTCTAATTCTAAAAATTTTTAAATGTAACAAAATCTGTTACGTAAAATGAAAATTGTGAAGAATCAAATACATTCTATAATTGTCTGTAGGTTCCTGAAGACAAGGAAAGAAGAATTGGCGGTGGTTCCCTAGTGTGGGTGCCTGTGGTGGAAAGCGAAGAACTTGATGGAGCTTTTATTACTGGTCCAATGCACAACGACATCAAGGAGGGCAATGTAAATAAAGTGCCGGTCATGATCGGGTATAATTCCGAAGAAGAGATCGTGTTTGGAAGTGGTAAATATTGCAACCGACAAGTATACGCGGGTGTTCGCTTTATTTCTTGAGATCTTTCAAAAGTTTCTTTTACATATATTTTGATATTTTTGATTCACAGAACTGATAAATATTAATTTTTTTTTTCAGTTGACGATTTTAAAGAAAAGGCTGCGAAATTGGACGAGGATGATTCACAAATCGTAGGTAACGTGTATAATATTGATGACACAAACAAAGAGACTGCCGGACAACAACTGAAGAAACTGTACACAAAGACTACCTTCGAGGATAATTTGAGCGCTCTAGTTAAGGTGGGTAATCAGCAATCTTGTTTTATAATTTTCGGATTATATCAGGTTTTATTGTTAGCCTATCGTTGATTCCCAAATACTTATTTGCTGTATTACAGTTATAATCAATAACATTTCGTTGCCTGCAGGTGAATTGATTTATAAATTCGTCACTGAAGTATTTATGGCCACATCAACATCTTGTTTTCATCGCCTACTGAACACAAAGTTGTAAGTCCGTGACACTGCTACATAAACCGAAACATACATATCTACAAATAATTTCATTTTTCTCAAGAATGGTTTTCTGTAGGCGATTTTCTCAAGTGACAATATTTTTATTAAATAAAACGACCTTTCCTATGTTGCTGCCCGTTTTAAAAAATACGACCACTATAAAAGTTTTGTCCGCTAAAAGGGAGAGGGAACTGTAGAAAACTATCACCCAGCTTTAATCTTTAAGGAATAATACGCCATAATAGTTGCCAAATGTGCCAAATTTTAACGCGGTCGGTAAAAGGGTTATGAAGTTATTAATTAAATTAGTTTTATTTTTGACAACTTTGAAGACCTGTAACTCAAAAACCAGAAATTGTTTATCTTTCTTTCGTAGATCGTATTTATTTATCATCCTGAATACGCAGTCAAACGTTGTCGGTGAAATTTGCGGACACCCTGTATACCTGTAATTATAAAAACCTTTTAAAAATGATTATAAAAACAATGCTGTTTTATAGAATCATTATTTTCGAAAACATTTTCTCATTTTCAATAAAATATATACTTAATTGCTAGCTGCAACCACATTGCCCAGCGAAGTAAATAAGAGAGTAGAAATACAGTATACAATACAGTGCACAATTTTTCAATTTCAGTTCAAGACCGACTCTGATTTTGCAACACCGATAATACGCCACGCCGAGCTGCACTCCAGCTTAGCAGACGTCTTCTTGTACCAGTTCTCGTACAAGGGAATGATGGGGTGCACGAATGCGAGTGTAGAAGGTAGGATATTAGTCAGAACTTGTCAAAAATGATAAAGCGGTATGTTCTTAATAAAATATTAATAATATTCTGTCACACGGTACTATAAATCATAACGATTTACCTAAGGGTAGGACAATTTTTAATTAGGTGTGTAAATACAGGGTGTCTCATAATTAGCTGCCAACCCTNTATTAATTAAATTAGTTTTATTTTTGACAACTTTGAAGACCTGTAACTCAAAAACCAGAAATTGTTTATCTTTCTTTCGTAGATCGTATTTATTTATCATCCTGAATACGCAGTCAAACGTTGTCGGTGAAATTTGCGGACACCCTGTATACCTGTAATTATGAAAACCTTTTAAAAATGTTTATAAAAACAATGCTGTTTTATAGAATCATTATTTTCGAAAACATTTTCTCATTTTCAATAAAATATATACTTAATTGCTAGCTGCAACCACATTGCCCAGCGAAGTAAATAAGAGAGTAGAAATACAGTATACAATACAGTGCACAATTTTTCAATTTCAGTTCAAGACCGACTCTGATTTTGCAACACCGATAATACGCCACGCCGAGCTGCACTCCAGCTTAGCAGACGTCTTCTTGTACCAGTTCTCGTACAAGGGAATGATGGGGTGCACGAATGCGAGTGTAGAAGGTAGGATATTAGTCAGAACTTGTCAAAAATGATAAAGCGGTATGTTCTTAATAAAATATTAATAATATTCTGTCACACGGTACTATAAATCATAACGATTTACCTGAGGGTAGGACAATTTTTAATTGGGTGTGTAAATATAGCTAAATAGGTGTGTCAGAAAAATATATTTTTCGAAAACTGTCGTCAAAAGTCGACATTTTCGTTACATATTCAGTTGACAAAGTGAGTATTTTTTGTCACCTAGCTGCCAAATACTTTTATGTTCTAGAACGCCAAAGACTTTTTCGTTCAAGAACATAACAAAAATGTCAAAATAATTTGTCATTTTTTCTAAACTTATTAATGATTTTATTAAATAATCAATATACATTTTAAGTACTATAATAACATTTCAATACAAAACAGTAACTATTATAAATAAGATTACAATTTATTTTCCACTACATGTAAACTGAATTTGCCGATATTGCAGTGAATTAAATTTATCCAGTGCTGCTAGTTATCGTAGGCTGCTGCTGTTAATTGTTTAAGTTTACTGCGCACGTTGTATTATTGTCAAGTTCCTTATGCTCTGCTGAAGATGTTAACAATTTAGTTACGATTGAAATTTTACTTTGTATATATTCTTCTATACAGGGTGTTTCATAATTGGATGTCAATATTGAAGGGTGTTAATCTGTGCGTGATTTTAAGACAAAAAGTTCATATAAACATAGGTCCGTTTTCGCTTTATTTTTGATATACAGGGTGATGGATATCTGTTTGTAAAATTGTTTTTTTTAATAACTCCGAAACTAAATTAGATAGTTTTATAAAACTTAGTATGTGTAAACTAGGTGCAGAGACACGTCTTTTGCATAATAAACGAATTTTCATTTTTAACCAGTGGCGTCCCAATTAACTTCAACCTCATTATTTTGAATGAAAAAAATGATACGCCACTGCATTTTTGAAAAACAAAAATTATTGTATAAATGGTGCTTTATTTTGTAATAAAAAAGATCTCTTGAGTTTTTTTCTTATCTTGCACTGTTTTTTAGTAAAAAAATAAAGAACAACATACTAACCCACATTGAGCCAAACAGAAAGCATGATATAAAGATTACCTAGTAGGCTGTGGTTGTTGATTACTGTTGTGATTTATTAATTTTGACAGTTCAGTTCATTCAACTCAATTTTGATACTTAAAATACCTGTACAGTGTTATTTGATAATGGTTGAGTTTACTAATCAAGAGTTGGCAGACATTCATTACATGTATGGCTTGGCTGATGGCAGAGCGCCAGAGGCTAAACGATTATATCAAGAGCGTTTCCCGAATAGAGTCACACCAGATAGACGAACATTCTCAAACATACATAGAACGTTGGCTGAAACAGGTACTTTTAAGCCAAATAATCAATTAAAAGGTGCCCATCGGACTACTAGAACTCCAGAAGTTGAAGAAGCAGTTTTAAATTCAATTGATGAAAATCCTAATATTAGCACTAGACAAATTGGAAATAACTTGAATATCTCGCACATTCTAGTTTGGAGAATTCTTCACGATTTTCTGTTATACCCGTATCATATTCAACGGGTCCAAGCCTTACTTCCTCGAGATTTTCCTTTGCGAATCAACTTTTGTCAATGGTTTTTGGAGAAAATTGCGCAAAATCCCTTGTTTGACTGTGAAATAATGTTTACAGACGAAGCTAACTTCTCTAGAAACGCTATAAGAAATTTCCATAACAATCATGTTTGGGCCGAAGAAAACCCGCATGCAATTGTGAACTTTAACAATCAAGAACAATTTTCCGTGAATGTTTGGGTTGGAATTGTTGAAAATCACTTAATTGGACCTTTTTTTCTGCCACAAAGGCTAGACGGCCGTACATATCGTCGGTTTCTAGAGGAGGATTTGCCCGTATTACTTGAAGAAGTGCCACTTTTAACTAGAAATAGAATGTGGTTCATGCATGATGGTGCACCAGCTCATTTCCATCGAGAAGCAAGAGAATATTTAAATCGCACATTTCATGACCGATGGGTAGGCCGTGGTGGACCCCAACAATGGCCCCCCAGGTCCCCAGATTTGAATAGTGCGGACTTCTTCTTATGGGGGCATCTGAAAACTCTGGTTTACAACACTCCGGTTAACACTGTAGAAGACCTGAGGAATCGCATAAGAGCTTCCTGTGATGTAATAAGGAACACTGACAACATTTTTCAAAGAGTCCGCACTAATATGAGAAGAAGAGCTGAAGCATGTATCCTTGCAGGTGGAGGGCATTTTCAACAACTGATGTAATTGTTTGTTTTTTTCGTTTCACAAAATTGTTATTTGTTGATCGTCAATCGTAATTATTAATAATATTATACAATAATGTGTATAAGTTATCTAGTAAAAGAATTATTTCCATAAAATGTGTAAAAAGTACTTCATTCCACGTACAGATAATTATTGTTGTTCTTTATTTTTTTACTAAAAAACAGTGCAAGATAAGAAAAAAACTCAAGAGATCTTTTTTATTACAAAATAAAGCACCATTTATACAATAATTTTTGTTTTTCAAAAATGCAGTGGCGTATCATTTTTTTCATTCAAAATAATGAGGTTGAAGTTAATTGGGACGCCACTGGTTAAAAATGAAAATTCGTTTATTATGCAAAAGACGTGTCTCTGCACCTAGTTTACACATACTAAGTTTTATAAAACTATCTAATTTAGTTTCGGAGTTATTAAAAAAAAAAAATTTTACAAACAGATATTCATCACCCTGTATATCAAAAATAAAGCGAAAACGGACCTATGTTTATATGAACTTTTTGTCTTAAAATCACGCACAGATTAACACCCTTCAATATTGACATCCAATTATGAAACACCCTGTATATGTCTCGACTACCGTACTGGAACGCCACCCCCCATGTCGTTTAATGGTTGTAATATCGGCCCCTACGTCGGCTAACATAGTGGCGAAAGAACGTCTAAAGCAGTGCCCTGTATAATTTTACGAATGAGGCAAATTGAGATAAGTGGCTAATTCTTTTGGTACATTCCTTATTTTGTTGACTTCAACCACTTGGTTAACATATTTTTTACTAACATAGTTCACAAAACATCTTCGACTTGTAGTAAACTGCCGGACGTAAAACAGTATTTGCGGTATATCTTCATTTGGTCTGAACCTGAAATCACAAAACATCCAGAAGTATGAGTTTTGGAATCGGGAATTCTTATAATAATAATTGATTTTTTGTCTTTATCATCGATAAAGATTAATAGCTCATCTCAAAGCTCCACAAACAAAAATTATTAAAATGATTTCAAAAGTTGTCCAAAATTAGTTAAATCGACCGATTTATATTAATTTGAATTACCTTTTCTAGCAGAAATCTATTATCAGGTGCTTCTTGTAAAAACCTCTCAATTTCCTCTTTCGTTAGAATTCTGGATTTTTCGGACGGTATCCAACTGATTTGCTTTTCAAAAATAGTATTAGTTTTAGAAATTTTCTGATATTTACATTTTTTTGGCATTCCACGTAATTTTTAACATGGAATATACCGACCATAACGTCGTTGTGTCCGAAATATGCCAGTAATACCGCTTCGAACACTTTTTTCAATTTTCTTCGAACTACACCATCCTTTGAATTCGTTGTAGCCAATCTCCGTACTGCCTCGATGATTTTTTGGTGATCAAATATTAAACAGCATTTTTCGACGCTTCCAATACTTCCCCTGGTAAGTGCTCGTGTTCTCTTTCCGAGCTCATTTTGAATTAAACACTTTTAGAATATGAATTACAATATATGTATAATTCTGACTCTACTTTTTCAAACAACTAATTTTTATTGTTTATTTCTATATTTGTCAATGGAAATTTAACTATTAAAGTTTACAGCCCAAAATTTGCTAGGAAATTATGTCATATAATATACACATATTTCTATTGATGCTCCATTTTAAGGTGGTTGAGAGAATAGTTTAATGAAAAAATANTAAAATGATTTCAAAAGTTGTCCAAAATTAGTTAAATCGACCGATTTATATTAATTTGAATTACCTTTTCTAGCAGAAATCTATTATCAGGTGCTTCTTTTAAAAACCTCTCAATTTCCTCTTTCGTTAGAATTCTGGATTTTTCGGACGGTATCCAACTGATTTCCTTATCAAAGATAGTATTAGTTTTAGAAATTTTCTGATATTTACATTTTTTTGTCATTCCACGTAATTTTTAACATGGAATATACCGACCATAACGTCGTTGTGTTCGAAATATTCCAGTAATACCGCTTCGAACACTTTTTTCAATTTTCTTCAAACTACACCATCTTTTGAATT